GCCCCGGGGCCCCCATAGGGTACACTTTGCCCCACAGTAAGCCGATGGATCTGCGTTTGTTTTTCAAGAAAAAGGAGAATAAATAAAATAAAATAAAACAAAATTTGTGGCGGATGATGCCTGTGTTTTTTTTTTCGTTTGCTTTCCTAAAGATGAACTCTTCTCTGGTGTATCTGTGATAGAGCTGTATCGTTGAGGTTTTTCATTGTTGTTTATATATATTTTTTTTTTTTTGCTTTTTTATTTGGCTGGAAACTTAAAAAATTTTATACTAACAAAGAAGAATAAGAGAAAACAAGCAGAAAGCCTCCTCTTTCTCGGTGTGGATTCTATGCAGAGATGAACCACCGCGGCGGTTCGACTTCCCCGAATTAACGAAAAAAAAACAAAATAAACAAAATAAAATAAAATAAATTAAAATAAATTAAAATAGTTAAAACAAATGGGGAAAAGGAGGGGAGGAAAGCGTCAGCACAAGAAGCGTCAAGATGAACTTGCAAAAGAAGAGGTGCCTATACACCCCAGCGGTGTATCGATGCAAGTCAGCGATCCAGGTGGAAAGCTGACATTAAATACAGAAATAAATACATCAAAAGAAAGAGAAAAAGGAAATCAACCGCCAGATGTTATTGAATATTTCAATAGAATCAAAGAAATCATAGAAACCCGCAGATTTCATGACGATGAACAACTCGAAGCATTCGTTTCCTCCACTGTTCAAGAAATCAAAAACAGGGTAAACCCTAAACCCTAAACCCTCAACCCTAAACCCTAAACCCTAAACCAAACAATAAAACATAAACCCTAGATACTATCATCGCTAAACCCTAAACCCTAGACTGTAGATCGTGCTCACCCTAAACCCTAAACCCTAGATCCTATAAACCCTAAACCCTAAACCCTAAACCCTATTAACCCTAAACCCCCAACCATAAACCCCAAACAGTAAACCCTGAATCATGAGCCCTGCGTTTGTGGTTTTGTTTTTGGTTGCATGCATATATTCTAATTTGTTTTATTTTCTCTTTTCTTCTTTTTCCCTTCTCCTCTTTTATTTCCTTTTCTTCTTCTCGTCCTCGTATTATCTTTTGTATTAATTATTTTATTTTATTTTTAGTTTAATTTTAATTTATTTTATTATATTTTACTTTGACTTTATATTATTTTAATTTCCTTAATGTTATTTCTTTTTTT